ATTTGTAATGATGAGGAGAAGTGGTGATTAGTTTTTCGCAAAGGCAGAGATAGCAAGCAAAATGTGCAAAAAATATCTGTTTTTGAGAGAACTAAGCATCCGATTTGAATGATTCAAAAAACTTTCTACGTGGATTTTATTTTGAATTCTACCTAAAGTTTAAATGCTCACTTATATACTTGAAATAAATAATTTTAACTTTGTAATTCAGTTTATATATTTTTAACTTCCCGAAGGAGAAGTTTATGTTTTCATCAAAAAATCCGATTGGCTAATTTTATGTTTTCTTGATGTTTCAAGCCATTCTGAATCGAATGAGACCAAATTTGGAGAAAGTATGTGTGTGTGTGTGTGTGTGTGTGAACAGATTTTTTGCCGTAAATGGACGTTTTCTTGAAAACGGCTGGGCCGATTTCAAAAATTTAAAAGCCATTCGATGTATCTCGACGAGGACTATCGTTTATCAGTTTTGTGCGACGATCGGCCAAGCCGTTTCTTTATAAATCGCAGAAAAGTGAAAAATTTTTCGTCTACGTTTTAGCCCGCAATTCTGAATCGATTTTGAAAATTTAAAAACCGTTCGAAAGGTATTGGTTGGGAATCGTGCTGATTAGTTTTTGGTAGACATCGGACGAGCCGTTTTCTTGTAATAAAGTTTTGAAAAAAAAAGTTTCGACGATTTTTATGATTATTTTTTTGACGGTATATACTATAGTCTTCTATATCATACTAAAATATTACGGCCCTACGACAACTGGTTCAGCTTTAAAAATTCTTAAAAGTTTGCAAAAATTGGTATCGTTTTTTTGGCATTTGTCAAAATTAGACTTTTGATCGACGTTTTCTCAAAAACGCATGAACCGATTTTAGAAATTTAAAAGCCATCTGATGTATTTTGGTGAGGACTATCGTTTGTCAGTTTTGTGCGACGACCTGCCAAGCCGTTTCTTTGCAATTTGAAAAAAAGTGTTAAACTTTTCGTCCACATTTAAGCTCATCCTACCGAACCGATTTTAAAAAATCAAAAACTGTTCGAAAGATATTAGTTGGGAATGGTACTGATTAATTTTAGGTGAAAATCTACCGAGCCGTTTTCTTGTAATGTGTAACTGTTGAAAAAAAAATTTAAGCCGATTTTCATGGAACTTTTTTTGGCGATATACATCATGGTCTTATAGAACTTACTGTAATATTACGGCCTTACGACAAGTAGTTTAATTTTAAAAATTTATCAAAGTTAGAGAAAATGTTTTTTGACGTTTGTTAAAAATAAAATTAGATGATTTAGTTGGTATAACGATAGTGTACTTGGTCTTGAACATAGTAAACCATTAAAGTCCTACGGAAACTGGTTCAATTATAATTATTGATTAATTAAAATTATTGATTTTTGAAAATTTGCTTTTAGAAAATACTCCGAGTTAACGTGTTTGTTCGTTCGTTTGCAATGAAGTGTAATAAATCCACTCGGAATACTTTTAATCACTCATAAATTAATTTATTTTTTATTGATTAGGTCGATTATTTACACAAGAAAAAATGGATGTGTGTGTGTGTTTAGAGTAGAGGTGGGTCGTTGACGGTTTTGCCGTCAACGAAACGAAACGGTTATCGGGGTTTCGTCAACTAGTTAAATAACTAGTTATTTTTCAACTATAGTTATTTTTAACGATTCAACGCTGGCAACGTTAAGAAACTGATAGTTGAAATAACTGTTTCATTGAAAGTTGGTAATATGAAGTTTGTTCTTATAAAAGTCAAGTTGACGTTGGATTTTATGAATAAAAAGAAATAAATGTGAATTGTCACATTTATTACGCACACACACACACACACACACACACATATATATATATATATATATATATATATATATATAATAAATAAAGGTTTAATTTAAAAAACTTAAATATTTTCATTACAGCAAAGCCATATACTAAAACATCGAATTTACATGTTATATAAAAATAGCAATATAAAAATGTATAGTTATATAAAATGTTATGAAAAATAAAAAATCAATTTTCAGGTTTAGTCTAAAAAAATTATTACAAGACAAATGCTATGAGATTTTTATGAAAACTATTAACCATTGAAAACTATAATAAATGTAACTGATTTTCTAAAATTAAACGATTTGGCGCGTGTTGCAAGTTTCTTTTAAGATGTACATGTACATTTGCAATATTATAACAGCAGTAGCCTAACAATAAGCGATTTTCATAGTATTAGTTGATCCTTTCCGACGCAGGTACCTGCCTACGTTCGTTTTCGACAACGAACGAATTCCTATATCGTTGAAAAAACTAACTGCTTCGAAACCAGTTGATTTTCAACTAGTTATTTCGTTGCGACGAAACGGTTAGTTAGTTAACGAAAAAGAAACGGTTGAAAATAACCGTTCGTTGATTCAACGCCCATCACTAGTTTAGAGACAAACTTTTGTCGATGATTGTAGGAACACGCATCAACCTATTTAAACAAAACATTCAATTCGTACTGATAAAACGTGCTAATTAGTTTTTGGCAAAAAGGGTCCAGCCGTTCCAACGATACGGGGCAAAAAAGCCAAATATTGTAATTTAGTTCTTGAGAGAACGAAGCGTCCGTTTTAAGTAATTCAAGAAACATTTTATTTGTATTGACTAAACAAAGAACTGTTTTTGGGATGACAGGTCTAGAGGTCTAGCGATTACGGAGAATCAATAAGAAAAAGTAAAAAAATGACATATTTGGCGGTCTAAAATGATCATTAGATATATCCACGTCAAATTTTCTGATATTTTCTAGAGATTTTAATAATAAGAACAAATTTAATTTACATTTCTATGGGTTCCGTATCAATATCTAGCCGTTTCGCTTCGATATTTCGTCTCCAAAACAGCTGCGCAGCGCGATTGATTTTAAAAAAAGTTACAAATTTTCAAAAAATTTCAAAATATAAAAAAAAAAATTCAAAAAAAGCCATTTTTTTAAAAAATTTCGAAATTCTCAAAAATATATTTTTTTCAGATTTCAAATTTTTTTTAATATTTTTTAAAAATTTTATGTTTCGGTACGAGAAGTGCCAGCAATTTGCCTTAAGGCACGATGCCATGCACCACTAGTTTATTTGTATTAATTTATGAAAACTACTATTTGACTGACTTATAATTGAAAGGGCGGCAATCTGGAGACCGCCCCGGGCGGCAAAAGTTCTAGGTACGCCACTGACCCTGAGGGGCATAGTGTCTGTGTCTTTGGTGCATCAGTTCACAAGACAATGCGATGTGGAAAATTATGTGGTTTATACCGACGCAGTACAATTTCAGGAATGGATAATATCTTACATGATTTTTTGAAAAAAATAATTTAGTTTTTCTATATAATTAGGTAGTGTTTAATTAAATGATAAATGTATTCTATTGTGTAATGTATGCTATGACTTGTGTTTTGGAATTAACTCTCTGCATATACTAGCCTCATCTCCCAATTTTAATTTTTACATTTTAGAAACAAATCGAGAATCTCAAAAAAGTGGCAAGAAGTTGATTCTTATTTCTTCAAAGAGTCACTATTTTGTCAATAATTAATTTCGTAACTTAATCCTGGTATGTACAATTGTGACATCATTCTAGTAAAAAAATCGAAACTAAAAATTGTTATATATCTTTACGTTTTAAAGGTTTCTGAACATTTTGGCATACCTTAAAAAAATTGATGTATGTGTGTGTGTGTGTGCGTATGCATGTGCGGATAAAATTTTTCAAGCGATTTGAATAATTCAAAAAACATTCGATTTCAACTGATAAGGAGACGTGCTGATTGGTTTTTGGCAAAGGCAGGTCTAGCCGTTTCGGAGATACGGGCCAAAAAGTGCCAAAAATAGTACTTCAGGTCAGCGTCTCCGAAATTCCATAAAAAAAGTAAAAAATGGTGTCATTTGGCGGCCAAAAATGATCATTAGACATATGTACATCGTATTATCGGAACGCATATAAATGTACACAAAATTTGTACTTATTATTATAATCTTTATAAATTAATTTACAATAAATTAAATAATGTGTACATTTATATGCGTTCCGTACCAAGGTTTACAAGTTAGGCGACTACGCGGCGCTAAACAGATAAACATTGGCGGAACCCATAAGAATGCAAAAAAAAATACTTACTGTTAAAATCTCTATAAAATATCTGATAATTTGATGTGCATATGTCTAATGATCATTTTTGACCGCAAAATGGCATTTTTTTTTACTTTTTTACTAGATCTCCGAAACCGCTAGTTCTGCCTTCATGAAAATTTGATCGTTCTTCATCTTGTTAATACAAGTAAAATGTTTTTTGAATTATTCAAATCGGACGCTCCGTTCTCTTAAAAACTGAGTTACCGTTTTTGGCACTTTTTACCCCATATCTTTGGAACGGCTAGACCTGCCTTCGCCAAAAACTAATCAGCACGTCTCCTTATCAAAACGTGTTTTTTGAATTATTCAAATCGGTTGATCGGTGTTCCCGAAATCGTCGACGAAAATTTGTATCCGCACACACACGCGCGCACATACACACACACACACATACATCCATTTTTTCTAAGGTAAATGTTCAGAAGGTTTTGAAACGTAAAGATATATAAAAATTTTCATTTTCGATTTTTTTGCGATTACTATAACTTACCCTACGAGAAGTTAAAAAGAAGATAGTGCAAAAATTGATTGCCTTTTTTACGATGATTTAAAAATGACATTAAATTCATGCCTCTACATAAAATACCACATTAAGACAAAATGCTACTTACAACTAGTTTTATTATTAAATTGAATTTAATTCTTTTATGTGTCAAATGCATAACGAGTGTTCGTTATAAAACGTTTTGTATAATGACAAGTAACGGCAATTTTTCTGTCTACACATTAATTTCATCAAAATAAGCATGATAAATTGCACAAATTTATATGTAAATAATTCAGGACAATATATAATAATATAACTAAGTATAAACAAAATTAAAAACTTACCGAACCTGAGAACCATTTCAGGCACATCTTCCATTCCATTCAACATAATTTTTCGTAAAAATCGTCTAAAATAATGGAGCAGTTTAAATCAGTAATATTTGTAGCACAAGAACAAAACACATTATTTGACTTGGCACTATTCATTTTTCAATAAATTGCAACTAATAAATAATATAATAACTTCATATAAACATGTATTTGTCCTTCATCCTCCATTAGACGATCTGACAGTCCGTTCGGTTTTCGGGTTCGTTCTTACGTAATATTGCAAAGATAAAGGAATAGGAGGGGTGTTAAACATTCATTTTGGCTTGACTTTATCTTCAAAAAAATTAAATGACAACTGTTCATACAGTTTTACCAACTAATTAATGAAACTTCAGTTATTAAATTTAAATAACAGCGCGAATAATCTTTACCAATGAGCAGGATTGTTGACTGATATCTACCGACAACTTTTCAAAATCGATTCATGATTTTTCGTTGACAAAAAATTTTGCACTTAGCAGTTAATTATAAAGAAACTTTTAAATTGGTGCAGCCAATTTATACTTGTTTATCTAAGGGTGCAGCCTTTTTTGGAAACAAACCTCAACAAAAGGTCAAACTTTGGTCAGATTCGATTCAGAATGACTTGAAACGTCCAGAAATCATGATATTAGCAATTTAGATTTTTAGCGAAAATATAAACTTCATCAGGAAGTTAAAAAATAATATGAGACCATTATCAATTTAACACTTTTTGCTAATTCTGAAAAAGAAGCTATGCTTTTTGTTTCGCTTAGATTTACCCGCAAAACTAATGAACACAAGTTCTCATTGAGTTTCATTGAATGGCTTCTAAATTTTTGAAATAGGTGCAACCTGTTTTTGGGGAAATCTTGACGAGAAGTCATATTTTAGCTCACATACACATACTCTTTCTAATTTTGATTTCAAACAAATCAGAATGACTTGAAACAACGAGAAAACACAAAATTAGTACTTTGAATTTTCTGGCAAAACCATAAACTTCTTCAGCAAGTTAAAAAAAAATAAATGGATTTTTTACTTATTAGTAAACTTCTTCTTCAGGAAGTTAAAAATAAATAAATTGATTTTTACTTATTAGTAGACATATGTTTACTTATTAGAAGGTGAATTGTTATGATAAAAGTTGAAAATTCATATGAAATTAAAAATCTAATAAATTGTTTTTTTAATGATTTAATTTCGAATATTTATTCACTTATTCCATTCACTTAACTTATATTGCTTTCAATCATTCGTCATTTAAGTATAATTGGCAACATTAGATTTTTTTAAATTAAGCACAGTAGTGAGAAATACCATGCTCAGGCAGTTTTAAAATTGAATTTGATTTAATCTAGTTTATAAAATTTATTATACATTATTAAGATTCATTTTTTATTTCCTTTGTTATTTTGTAGGTTTAGGATAAAAACCTTTGAATTTTATCAACAATTTAAAGATTTTTCTACCAAACCTACAAATAACAATCATTAAAATATATTATATAATGTTATGCAGACAAAAATAAAAATTCTATAACGATATTTTGAAAAAGAATTTTACTTATAAAATCTATTTCTCCTCTATTACATTTGTATGAAAAGATTTTTTTTTCAAATATTTTGTATATTACATTTATATAGAATTTAAGACTACATCTAACATTAAATTAAAACTAAAGACATACAAACTAATTATGCCAAATCACATTTTTTTCTTCGATTTAATTTCTGATGCTTAACTTGATTAATGTACCAATCTATTTCTTTTTTATATTAACCATAAACTATAAACACATTCATATAATATAATTAAACTTATTTAAATAACACAACCAATTGCACCTTTTTCAAAATTAAATTTAAGTAATCAAAACTTTAAATATTTTATAAATAAATGTAATATTAATTTACAATATAATTTGCACAAACAAATATTAACCTATGGAATCATATTTTATTTACCTTTTGTGTGATTCTATACTTTTACTAATAAGTTTCTAAATAAAATTAAATAATAATTAATTTTTTGTACGTTAATTTGTAAAAAATAAGTTTTATATACACATTTATATTCATATAAAAATTTAAATAAATTATTATGTACCTGAATATCAGCCATCAAAAAACTTCCTAAAAAAATGAAAAAATAATAGAAACTTATGGAATTATTTTGTACACTGAATCAATCAAGTAAAAACATATGTGTTTGAAACAAATATGCTCGAAGGAACCCATTCCACTTTAGAATTTTGTGAAATGTACTAGAAACTATGTATACCATTTGATGCAATTCATCAAATAAAAGCAAGATATTTTTGTAATAACAAAAATCTTTAAACCACCATAATTTGCCATTTAAGTGACCATAATAAAATCTTTGATAAGAGTTTGAAATACTTGAACTGTTTATGATTTGTTTCATTTCCAGAAAAATTAATAAAAAAAAGTTTATTCTAATTCTAATTTATATATGTAAAAACTATTGCATTTTAGTATACGAGACCTCAAAAAAAATAAAGCTAGTATTATTAAATTATCGACAATATCTTAAATGGCAAGTTGTGGAGATTTAATTATTAGTAATAATTATTACATATCTGCATTCAAGATATATAAAAATACATACAGGGTGACCCAGAACTTATTTTCAAGCCAAAATGTGGTGATATTTTTGTCTGTAAAAATGTCCTGAAGAAAAGTAATAAAAATTAAACAATAACCAAAAAAATACCTGACGTTGTTTGTAAATTAGAAGCCTTTAAGTGCAATCTGAAGCTTTGGTGAAATAGAATTATTTGAACTCAATATGAGCAAAGTGCATTAACCATTACTGTATTATTTTTAGGTTTTTATTTTTGTATATAATTTTTTTCTTATGAAAATATTTTAAATACAATAAAAAGTATTTTACCGTTTTAAATCACCAAATTTTGATAAAACTTGCTATCCACTTAGAAGTTCATAATTTTCAAATAACGCAAAATAATGTTTTTTTCTAAGTTTTTTCAGGACAGTTAGAGTCAATAATATCGCCCCATTTCGGCTTGACAAAGAGTTGTGGAACACCCTGCATAGCCTTATTAGTTAGAATAGTTCTTATATTTAATATTTGCAAAAAGTACTTCAATTGAAAAAGCATCTACATATTTTTTCTCATGTAAGAATATTTAATAAAGTTGTTAATATGTCACTGAAAATCTATTCTAACGGCAGAAGCTTCAAGTTTATTCTATATATACAATTATTTATCTTTTTTCAGTACATTTAATCTATAGTGACAGTAAAAGGTTCAAAATTGATTTCCTGAGTCATTATGGAAGTCATAACAAACTCACTATTACAAACACATTTTGTTATTTTTGTAGAGCGAACTAAGTCCATAACTAAATGTAAATCATCTAATGTGGTTACAACAACGTAGCCATTCGGATTTACACTTTGTAAGTCTTGCACTTGCAAACAAGACCTTTTAATTTTTTCGACAGTACCTCCAGAAGCTTCAATAAGTTCCTTCAAGGTAGCCCGAGATGGCACAACCGAATTTGTAAGATAAAATATCTTATTTTTGAATAGCTCAGTTCGACTTGGCGTTTGTAATACTTTTTCTATATTACATTTATAAGTGTTTGTAAAATTCTCATCTCGGAAAATAAATTTATCACATGATAAAAATTCATTCGATTGTTCGCTTTCTGTAAGCCACTCTGGTGTAATGATATATTTGCAAACTATTAAACTCATTAGTAGCTTGCGAGTCCTATTTGGACGACATAAAACCAGATGTGTAGCTTCTGATGGAGTATCAACAACATATCCACCAAGCTGCCTAAAATAATTAAATGTATATATATATATATATTAATTGATAATACATAATTATTGAAATATGTTATATATATATATATATATATATATATATATATATATAAATTTTTCTGTAATGATGTATGTAATATACTCCTCCTAAACGATTATTCGGATTTTGATAGATCTTTCTGAAGTTTGATAAAGGAATTCTTTAGGATGTATGTGATTATAAAAATATAGTAAATTTAGTCAATATAGTAAAATTTTCAATATAGTTTTTTTTTTCAATATAATTCAAGAAATATATAATTTCTTTGTATCTTTTACTAATCTTTGCACAATATTTTTAAAATACGTTAAAAATTACACTTTAAAACAACAAATGGGAAAGTAAAAATGAATACATACAATTTGGCCCTTACGATATCAATTAGAAGAAGTTTAAGATGCAATTTTGGATAAAAATAATAAAAAATCAAATTGAAATAATCCAACATGAGGTGCCTGTGTTATGTTATGGCTATGTTTAATAATGAAAGGCTAGAATTTTTTTGCTCTCTATGATTTGCTCAATAGAATAAATCGCATAAAATGCCCAAAAGAAATAAGTAAAGTTTAATAATATGTTGTTAAATAATTTTAATAATAAATTGTTAAAACAGGTAAAATAATAGAAAAGGGGGGAGGGTAGCGCTAGGATAAAAATGGCATGCTGTCGCTGAAAACCCCAAAAGCGTTCCTGATAATAATGTATACTAAATTATTACTAAAAAAAATGTAATTTAGATATTATAATTACTAAAAACCAGTTAAAATATGATACAAGATTATAAAAATCATAGGCAACATTATTGAAGCAATTATTTTGGGTGGAAAAATCCGTTTAAAAGACTTCAATTTTCAATATAGTGTGGGAATTTAACTTTTTACATTGCTCATATTGATGTATATGCATTTTGGTATAAAGAGTAATTTAAAAAAACAATAATTATTATTTTTAGGTAATCAGTAAATATCAGAATAGGATATTGAACAATCGTAGACGTGGGTACAGGACAACGGCTGCCGGGTCATCTAGTATATATATATATATATATATATATATATATATATATATATATATATTAATTATTACTTATAAATTCATGTAACTCACTTGACAATTTTTACATAATTTGACAAATTATCACCAATCATGGAAAACAGAACACGTGGCGCATCCTCCGCTGATGGAGGATTCTTGGAAGTAACTTGGATGGTTGCATCCTCTATTTCTTGTTTTGGTGTATTTGGTGGGGAACGTGGCTTTTTGGCTCGAGGTGTGCCACTATGAGGGCTTAAACTGCGTTTGACACGCTCATGAGATTCTTGGGTGATGTTTATTGGTGATTTCCAGCCTCCTGCAGGAAAAATATAACTTCACTCTGAATATACTTTTCACAATATTAAATATATTATTAAGACAATTCAAAAAATATTTAAATGAAAGTGTAATACTTTATAATGCTTCTATTAATAATATTCAAATTAAATTTATATAAAGAAAATTCTAAATTCTCAAAAAAATATCCAATTTTTCATGATTTTCAAAATATGTTAAGGCTTTTAAATAAAGTAAATTACAGTATGGAAAGTTCCATCAATAGCAATAACATGTTTATTGAATCATGGTAGAATTAGCTAAAAACGTCTTTCCTATTTACTTTATTTAACTCCAGATAATTTAATAACTAATAACTAATTAATTAATTTAATATCAACTAAAAACAATTTAAACCAATTTAAGATTTAACATTTGTTTCAGATGTTTGTCAAATCTATGAATTTAACTTACCCATGAGATGAGGCACCAATGAATAATCAATTCTGAATGGATTTGGTAAATTATATTGTTGATACTTCTGGGCATCAAACTGCTTCAAAACATCTAAATTTCCTAAAAGTATGTCACTCAGCCAGGCAACATTAACAACATTTATTCCTCGATCACGTGCATATTTATATTTTAATCCTTCAGCACGTTTACAAACCAATACAGTATTATGCTTGCTCAAGTAACCAGTAAACTAAAACATAATAATAATATATATATATATATATATATATATATATATATATATATATATATATAATATAAATAACATAATAAACATATTGCTGACAATGTAGATTGTAGAACAAACTTTAGTAGATATTTTTTTGAACAAAAGTAAATTAGACAGATTATTATATTAATTTAATTACCTTAGCTCCAATCTCTTCGATCATGCTTTGCACTCTAGTCCTCTCTTCTCCTTCAAATCCAGAATAGGATATAATGTGTTTGTAGGCAGGTCTCTGAGTTCCAAATGCAGGAAAATGTATTGCTTGCCACGGTGGTAGGACTTGACGCTTTACCATAGTGTCATTAAGCCAGTGAGCTGTTACACATCGTTTCACATCCCGTATTGCCTAAAAACAAAAAAAATGTTATAATGTTCATCAGTTTATGTGTTATTTTAATATTTCCAATTTAATATAATTTCCACTCATAATACTTCATATTTATATATATATATATATATAAAATGTATTCTGAGTGGATAATAAATATTAATTTGGAAATATGAACAAACAACACTCTTTTTTGCAGTAATTCATTAAATAATAATTTTCACAAACGTTTCGAGACTAGGTTTGTCTCATCATCAGTGTGTTATAATTTAAAATTTAAAATATAGAAATCTAAATTAGCATTTTGTGTTATCCATTACAAGTCGCTCGATACACTGTCCTCTGCCACACCAATGGTCGACGTTGACCGCATTCTCTCCCACTTGAAAACCACTTGAAAATGAATGATCACGCAATCAGATAGGAAAGGAAGGATTAGGGTCCAGTTGAAAAATAGATGTCGTTAGGAGAGAAAATATATTCTATGAATGAAATGGTTTGTTTATAAGATTTGTTTTAAATTGTTATAATTAAAAATATATGTACATATATATACATACTGACATATACAAATGTATACCCAAAGTACAAAACATCACATATACAAATACCTATATACCCACAACATACACATACATATATAAATACACACATATATACATACACATACATTAACACATATATATATACACATATATATTTTGTAAGGAAATAATTTGTCAGAAAAAATATTTATATTCTCTTTAAAATAAATACCTGCATAACAAGGCCATGCCTCTGAGTTTTACATAACAAATGGGTAACTCTGGCACAGTAAGAAGGTTCGACTTCTCCTCCATGTTTTGCTATTAGTTTTTTCCACATAGCAACTTTATCAGGAGACTCTTCATCATATTCAACAATCAGAAATATGCAACCCAACAAAAACAAATCAGGTGGCACTATAAAGAATAAACAACAAAAATTGCTTAAATGTATAACCTTCAAAGAAAATTTTATAAATACAAGACAAAAAAGAATAGTATATTTACATTTTAAATTAGGATTGTGTCCATAAAACTGAGGTCTGGCTGGTTGCACTTGCAGTCTCCCATTAGTAAAAACCATACCAGGTTTTAAAGCTGTTCCATTTGTTTGTGCAAGTACTCCTGCTGCGCCGGGCATAACTGTTACCTGGCCTGCAGCCCCTCCACCTGGCATAACAGCCACTTGACCTGCTCCTCCAGCCACCGGCATTGCTACTGGTGCAGCAACACCCATTCCCCCTCTTCTTTGCTGCTGTAAAACAAGGAGTTCTTGCTGTGTGCGTGGTGCAACTGGTGCATTCAATGATGCATTATGTTGTGCAGTCATCATTCTAAAACAACAAAAATTAAAAAATAAATCATAAATTATATTTATAATCTGGCCCTTTCAAGATAAGTACATTTCATCAATCCTACATTATTTTAATTTGAACTATTTTGTCACATTTTTGCAAAAATTTTTACATTCAAGTAATAATTATAGACTAGTAAGTATGATTTTTTCTTAAGGTAAGTTGCTACTTCTAACATGGTTATATAGAGTATATTTACAACAATGAACTATAATATATTTCTTGGGCTAATACAAACAACTCTTTCTCATAGTCTATGAGGAGCATATGTATGTTTTGTTCTGTTTCCTTGGTAGGAATACTTTCTCCAATATAAAAAACATTGCAATCACTTTATATACAAAGTATAATTATTTCTTTAGGTGTTTGTGATTTTAAATCTAAAAAAAGATTTGTCAAAATTAAAATATAAGTGTAAGAGGAAACCTTCTTCAAAAAATAACTTATTTAAAAAATAATAAAAACTACATAAAAACGGTAAAGATATTATAATACCTTAATATTTATTGAAAGAAAAAAAAGATAAAGATGAAAAACCATTTAAAATAAAAAGAGAATTATTTGAAAATTATTTGTAATTTGTATCTAATGAAATCTATTTTTAATAAAATAATTTAATTAAGTGTGAAGGACAAGAATTATTACTGAAAGTTGAACGTAACATATCTAAATTATTATTTGAAAAAATTTTATCACTTGACAAATTGACTCTATCAATTAACAAAATAACAATAAAAATTTTAACTGAACGAGAATAGAAGAAAAAACTAATGTACTACCTGACCAAGTTGGTTTCTGATGCCAATGAGCGAGCAATCAACATGGTATCTTTTTTATAGTTTTTAAATCTAAAAAACTAATATAATTATCTAACTCATTTTCACAACATGTTCACAAGTAAACTGCAAATGTTTTTTATTAAAGTTACCGCTTTTCAAAGTGCTAAAAATATAATAATTATCCAAACAAAAACATTGTAAACCTATCTATAATATATAAACGGCTGGACAGAAAGTAATCTATTCTAAGAAGTAATTCTAAAATTTGCAAAGGTTTCAACTGGTAAACCAAAAATTTAAGAAAACATTATCAAATTTCTTAAACTTTCAACTAAACTGAAAAAATTAGCAACATTAAATTTAGATAAAATATTATTTTAAATATATATTAGTACCTCAAGGTGCCTGCAGCCGATGGCTCCTGATCAGCGCCCGGTACAACAACAGCGTTGCAGCCACTCAAACGATTACTCAACATATTGGCGAGCGCAGTTTTCGTCTTGCTGTTTACTACTACGGCTTGAGTTGGTGGTTGGGGCTGATTTTGCTGCTGATCAACTGCTACAACTACTGGAGGAGCAGGAGTTTCTGCGTCGCCTACAAATCCTTGAACTGTTGCTGCTGGTTGACCACGAAGCATATTGTTAGCAACCATCGGCATCCCAGCATTTGCTTGTTTCTGCGCTTGTTCTCTGTATTCAAAAATATACATATATATAACTAAAGCCAAATAATTTTACATGAATATTATGCATTTTAATTACCTCTGCATTTGAAGTTGCTTTAGGCGGTGATATTGTTGTTGGCGTTGAATTTGCAATTGCTGTATGTGTTGTTGGTTTGCTGCATTCTGATCCATTGTAAATGCAGCTGGAGGTTGTTGCTGTTGTGAAATAGGACTTAATCCTGGAGCACCACCTGCAACAACACCGCCTGCTACTTGCTGTGCAGGCCTGACAACACCCTGTTGCTGTTGTTGCTGAACCCATTGTATCTGAAATTTAATACTTTTTTATAAAACTCTCTAAAAAAAATATACTTGGTAAAAACTTTTAGAATCAACCTGTTGTTGAGGCGTCAATCCTGCAGGCACCTGGCTTCTAATAACAGCAATTTGTCCGGGTCTTGGTGGTACAACAGGTCGCTGTACCAACCCTGCCGCTTGCTGTTGCTGCTGCTGTTTCTGCATCAATGCTCTCTGTTGTTTCTGAAGATGTGCCACAAATTGCGCCCTCTGCTGGGGATCCATCTGTTGAAGTTGCGCATGAGTGTGAGCATCCAAGTGAATTAGTTGCCTCTGCGGTTGACCAGGTTGACTAACTTGCTGTTGCCACATAGCGCGTGGAGCAGCCTGGCGTTGTTGTTGCTGCTGTTGTTGAACATTGGTGACTGCATATTGTTGTTGATGTTGCCAAACCTGCAGAAGGGTGATATTTGTTTTTAATTAATTTATTTATTTTTCTGCCAGACAAATATCTGAAATTAAAACATTGATATTAATGTAAAGGAACCCTTCATCAGTCCCTTACTGTTACTTTCATCTACATTTAACAAATGTTAATGAGATTAAATAAAAAATTATACAAAGATATAATACTACAAATACTAAATGAATAATGAGTTATAGACTAGCGCTTAATTAATCTGTCCTAGTTCTATTGATAATCAAATTAATAAAAGCTAGTCTTTAAATTTATTCTATACATTTTATGACATTCGACAAATTATAAATATCAAGATCACATGTAACAATTTACATTAACTCGATACATTCCAATCTCATTTATTTCTATATGTATGTAAATATCTCATATTTTGCATTAAGTAAATGCAGATTGAGTACATAGTTTTTAGTTTATAAAATATAGTAACTAAAAACACCAGACACCTAGAAAAGAACTGATTACAAGATTAAATTACATTTACATTTCATTCCATATATAGTACTGAATAGTTCCAACACAATGAGTAAACTACAATCAGTAAACTAAATTAAAAATATTATTGCTATTAATATTACCATTATCAATCAGCCTAAAATAAAAATAATATGTATGATATATATATATATATATATATATATATATATATATTTATATATATATATTAAAGTTGTTCTTGTGCGTCCATTCATTAATTGAAACTATTTTATTAAAATAAAATGTTTTATTGTCAAACGTTTCGGGTCCTGATTTGACCCATCTTCAGTGCTACATTAAAGGATTACAGAGTTACAAATTAAAAATACAATAAAAATACAAAGATATAAATAAAAAAATGTGATTTAACTTAATAAATCTAAACAATATGATAAAAGAATTTATTATAAGACTAAAATATGTTGTTGTATATAAAGATAAGATACAACTAAAATAGTAGAATGATATGCAATAACTCACCATATAAATAATTTGAAGAAAAAAACAAAAATACAGAAAATATAATGCACCAACTACTAAATAATTTACAAAGCACGACTTTTAAAAACTATTAAATTAAAATAAATATTAAATTAAAATAAAATAAATGAAAAGGTTTTAAAAAAAGAACTCTTCTCATCGAGACATGTAATATGTTTGAAAAAATTTTTTCACTAGTGAATAGTGTTTCTATGTATAGATAAGGAAACTCGAAAAGCTACTTCGTTATTAGTTGAAAGACTGAGATAGAGAAGTTTTAGCGGCGCTTTGGCCGGCGGAAAAATTACGAAATAAGTATATGGAAAATATAGCTTTTGGATTTAAGCTGTAATCAGTAGGCAAACATTTTTTTGTATAAAAATTATATATAAGGAAACTTTATAAAATATGAAAAAATATACGAAGAAGAGAATAAAATATACATATATGTATACACGCACAAAAATATATGTATATAGAAGAGAATATACATATATATATATATATTTATATATATATATATATATATATATATGTATACACGAAATGTTTGATATTTATTTTATTTTAATAAAATAGTTTCAATTAATGGATGGATGTCTAAGAACAACTCTATTATAATATTTCACCATTTGAAAAAACCTCTCAATTTACATATAAACACACGTATATGTATATATATATATATATATATATATATATATATATATATAGCATGGGACCAATTTTATTTTCCACTTTAACCCAATTAAACTACTTTACACAAATTATTTTTTATTTGCCTGTAAAACATGATTGGCAAACTGAGTGTTCTTAAAAATAACATGTTATAAATACTATATTGTATTTGAACTTATAGATCACAATAAAATAAAACTATATTATTAATCTCAACTCTAGCAGAAAAGCTCTAATTTTTTTTAGGCTCCGGATCCTAACTCATCAGTCATTTTGTCTGGTCTTCAAATCACATAATCCAGAAACAAATGATGATAATAAATTAGTTTAATAAAAGTACATGCAACCCAAAAAATGCATGCATCTGATATTTATTTTAAAATTCATTTAATTAAGATTTATTACTAATAATATCCAGATTTATTATATAACAGTATCCAATTTTTATGCTGAAAGATTATAAAAATTTATCAAATTGATATTTTGTATCAAGACTATAGCAGTTAAACAGAATTGATTTTTTTTTTGTTTTTTTTTATACTTACTTGTGGGTTCTGCTGTTGGTTTATTACTTGCTGATTCTGTTGCTGCAGCATTTGCTGATTCTGTACGTTTTGTTGCTGCTGCCCTAATATCTGAATATTTTGTTGATTTAAGACTTGGGATTCAACTCTTTGATTATTTATTAATGAATTTGGATTTAACATCTGTTGGTTAATTATTTGTTGATTTTGCTGCATATTGATTAGTTGTGGATTTTGCATTCCTTGCTGATTAATTAGTTGTTGGTTTTGTATAGTTGTTTGTGATTTGAAGATTTGTTGTGGCTGTTGTTGCTGATTTATTATTTGTTGCTGATTGATTGTTTGCTGTTGGTTTATTGGACTGGAATTTAATTGTTGATTAGGTTGTTGACTCGTTGTGATGATATGTTGATTATTTATTTGATGTATACTATTATGCTGTGATAATTGTATTTGTTGATTATTTATTTGCAACTGGTTATTCATAACTTTATTTTGTTGCTGTATTAGCATTTGTTGATTTTGCATATCGTTTATTTGTTGGTTATTTAAATTTAAATTTTGATTGAGTTGGGAATTATTGATGAGATGTTGATTAGCTAATTGTTGGTTAGACAGTTGCTGTTGCTTATTTATAATTTGCTGGTTTCCCACAAGATTTTGTTGCTGATTTAAACCGGCTTGTGTTACATTTTGAGTAATTATCTGTCCACCAGACTGTGTAACTGCCATTTGATTGCCAATATTAATATTTAATTCTAGTTTCTGATGCATTTGTTGCATATTATTTATTTGAAGCTGATTCTGCCCAGTACTAACAATAATTTGTTGTGCTGTGCTCATAACTTTGTTATTCATATTCTGCGATGCAACTTTTGTCTTCCAATCAGCTTCATCATTCTGTTGATTATGCATTGGACTGCTCTGCATCGATTGTATCTTTTGTTGATTTAAATTTTGTTTTGCCATAGATTGCTGATTTGCTAACATAGGTTGACTATTGTGAATTTGTTGCTGCTGCAAACGTTGATGTTGATTATTTACATTGGGTTGTGAAAATTTAACATTTGCATTATTATTTAAAGCTACATTTGCCTGAGAATTTATTACAGTAAAACCTTGAGAAGTTGGAGATTTAATTAATGGGGACTGTGATGGTACAGACTGTAAAGGTTCAGAAACATTCCAAGGTAACTTTTGTCTGGAATTATCAAAACCATCTTTTGATTGCTCAGTTTCTTTTGGGCCTTGTGTTGGAACTTCAGTTTTAGCTATGCTTTCCTCAAAATCAAAACCTGTAATGCTCCTAAGACTATTCTTTGTATCATTTTTAGTAGTACCATTATCCATTATTAATAATCTAGGGTGGTAAATACTTGTTGAACATAACGAGTTTACATTAATACTATCTATAATCCAGTCTGGAGTGATGACATTTAATTTTTCTGAATTTAAACTCATTGCCGTTGTATAGCGGGCTCCTTTCGGAGCCCCACATATTAAATGAGTGCATTTTGAATCCAAATTCAGTTTTACCTTGCCTCCATAAAAAGTTATAAGACTCCATAAAGCATTAAGATCTTTTTTTGAAACTTGGGCAATACAGAATACAAGTGAAGCAAAAAGTTTATTCTTATATCTTTTATAGGGCTTTGTGCTGACTAATTTGTTTAAGCTAACACAGGATTTAACCCAAGTAGCATGAACTGCAGTCAAATCATATGTGTCTTCAGCATCAAATATGTTCGTATCAGCAACATCATCGCCGAATACGTAATGTGTAACAAAATCAGAGATATACTGGATCTTCTTAGCCCCATGTTTACATAAAAGTTCTTCAATCTAAAAATTACAATCATTGTTATTGCAAATTTTTGCATTCAAACTAACCTAACAATGCCAACAATAATTTTCGTTCACCTGTGGCCCGACGTTTCCGCATAGGTAAAAACTCACATCTTTGAAAATTGGGGTATCAATTTTCAAATTATTCAAATCATTATTTATATCACCCATAATATTGTTTTATTAGTAAACAAACATCAAACACAAATAATCATTCTAGCGTACGCCATTTTGTTCATACCCTTGACAAACTAACATCCTTTCAGGAGCTGTCACATTATGAGAAAATTCATATGGGGTGAATTATAATTATTATCTCTTGTAACATATTGTTATATTTTATTTATTAATATTATTATATTCTCAAGGCCATTCAACAAGATTTTTGAACACAAATATTTGAACAGAAGCATAGAAAAATTAACGACATTCCAATTAGAATCTTCTTTAATATGTTCAAATTTTAAATTAATCTGGTTTTGAAATTTGAAATTTATTCATCCTTTAAGAACACATTATTTTACATCATTTGATTTCCAGTCGAATTGTTTTTAATAACCGGCCGGATAATTTAATACTTAAATTTCCCTCAGTGGTGTCTGTTGATGACAAAATTCATAGACTAAATATTTTTTAGTTTTATTTTGAATGAACAGGTTGTAAAAACTGATTGAACTTTCAAAAACAGATTGTAAAAATTGAATCTATGTTTATTACATTTTTTTTATATATTTCATCCTGAAAAAAAAAAAACCATAATCAATGAAGTGCACTTTGCATAATCATTGAAGCTTGAAAATGGAACTAAAACATTAAACTATAACAAATATTGAAAATGCCAACTAATCAATACTGAAACATATAAAGCATTAATATGAATATATTAATGAATAAAATATGGTTGCAGCACAAATAAAAATTTGTTCCTATATGAAAGTTATATCAAAATATTAATTCTCACTTCAAATTCTAAATGTAATAAAAAAAAGTTATGTTATAATATTTTATTTATTATTTACATGATTTTCAGAACTATATTTGAACTAATATAATCATTAGCTTTTATATCAGATTGTTCTTAATTTTTTAATGTGGAACTATCTTATCTGATACTAAACTTTAACGATACAAATGATCAGCTTGTATATTTGCTGCTATTTCTGATTCCCATTTATCACCATTGTTCAAAAGTTTTTCCTTATTGTATAACAATTCTTCGTGTGTTTCAGTTGAAAATTCAAAATTCGGTCCTTCAACAATAGCATCAACTGGACAGGCTTCCTGAAAATACAAAACATATATGATGTAATATAACATAATGCTTAAATAAAACTCAGAGTTTGATTTGCTTAACACAATGAGATAATTAAAAAAACAAAATTAAATCACTTTTAAGAAAATAATTAAAGTATGAAATCTATTATATTAAATTACATATTTGAATTCAACTGCTACCTATTATGTTACTGTTAAACAATCATTTTGAACCATATGAGACACAGCATGCTAAATAGTACATAAATATTATTTACAAAATAAATAATAAAGAAAACTATTAGAAATAAACTCTTCTCAGCTATTTTAAACTTTACAATAAATTTATCTCACAATTAGTAAATTGATAACTAGATCACCTGACAGAATCCACAGTAAATGCATTTTGTCATATCTATATCATATCGAGTAGTTCGTCTTGAGCCATCATAGCGTCTTTCAGCCTCAATAGTAATTGCTTGAGCTGGGCAAATAGCTTCACATAATTTGCAAGCAATGCATCTTTCTTCACCATTGGGATAACGTCTCAAAGCATGTTCTCCGCGAAAACGTGGACTTAAAGGTCCTTTTTCAAAAGGATAGTTTATAGTTGCTGGCTCTTTGAAGATGTGACCGAGAGTGACAGCAAATCCTTTATGAATAAATGAGAAAATTTATTATAATAATTATAAAGTATAAATTAATAGAATAGAAAATAGATCTAAAACATCTATTAATTAAATGATGATTAATACTTCCAATGCCAAGTGAAATATGCAAATTAACATGTGGAGTACCACAAGGATCAGTCCTGGGGCCCTTGTTAACAAAATACATATATTTTAAACCAAATAGAAGTAAAGAAAAAAATAAATTAAAGCTTAAAGTTCAAACTGCAATTGAAGAGGTAGACAATATAAAATATCTATAACTCATAATTATTCAAAAATTAACTTTGACAGACCACATAAAAAGAATGAAAAAAAAAAGATAGTCGCACATCGAGAATACACTACTTTGAAACAAAACACCAATTTTAATACTGAAAGCGCACATAATGCCTATAATCATGTATGGAATAGCAATATGAAACCAAACCACAAAAAAAATATATATATAAAAAATATATCTCCCCTACTTCACACCTACTAAAGAAGTTCAATATGTAACAGATAACATATTAAATAAAATTATAAAAATAAATTAAACATAACAAAATCAAAACATGCACATCGACAACTATAAATAAGGAAATATACAAGCACAATACTAGACAACAGGAAAATTATCATCTAAAACAAATAAAACCAGACGGAACACTATATGGAGTGCTATAAAATTATTCAATGGGCTTCCGAAAGAGATAAAGATGACCAAAGAAGAGAATTAATTTAAAATTAAGTTAACAGAATATTATAAAAAAATTAGATAAATATATTAGACCAAAGCATGAATCAAAAATGAACATACATATGATTGAATTATAGAATAAAAGATATATTATAAAATATTGTAATAACCATACATATACTTTGTATAGATATTTTGTACTATCTCTCATATCAAGCACTTCTGCCTGTCTGAGATGTATAAAATTCGTATTAAAATTCAAATAAATAATAATGAAAAATAATAATTGAATAGCAATAAAACCTCTGAAAAGTTCAGTCCAAAAAATGGTCTGAGCAGCTCTATCGGTAACAGACTTAAAATCATCCTTTTCTTCCTGAGCATTTACATAAATATAAGTGCCACCAGCACCTCCAGAACTTTCAAATCGGGTCTCTATTAGGCATGGAATAGATGCTCTCAAAGGTTGACCTGAAAAATTTTGTATATTCAAAATGTTATAAGAGACTACTGCACATAACCAACAAAATATTGCATAATCAAAGTAAGAAAAATTTAATACCATAACGAGTCAATGAAAATAATTTTGTCAGCGACATTGTAAATTATTTTTTATATTATAATTAATTGGTTAGATCGAAATTAATAGTATTTTAATTTAACATTTCAAAACACGGCTATGACAGCAAGATAATAGAGTAACAGATGACAGATAGAAAGCAGAGTGACCACTACAGGAATTGGCGGGGTTTTCAAATCAATTTCAATTAGAAATTGATTTAAAACAGCTGTTATTTTATCTATGGGCTCTGGTGTAGTAATATTATAATTATAATAACAGTATTTATTATGAAGTGTCTAGTAAAAGTACTTAAGGACATTTATAAATCAAAATTATTTGAAAATATTAGGTTATTTTAATAATTTTTGCACACGCTGCGTCAACCTGTAAGCACTAAAATCCTCTGCTCGTAAATATTCTGATGTATGAAAAAACATGAAAGACGACTTGTTTAGGTTAAATTTTATATTTTTGTATTTTTTTATGAGCTAGACAAAATATGCCAGAAAATATTAAATGAAAATTCAATATATTATACAAAATAAAAACTTATTACTTATAAAACTTACGAACACTTATTTAAAAGTTCACTGTTTTTAAGTGCTTGTAAAATATTCATGTACAGTTATTTATATTCAGTACATTCTTAAGCTGTTATTTGTTGTGATAATGATGTAGAATTTACATATTGCCACGTCTATTTATAATTATACTTATTTATATGTAGCTCTGTGTGAAAATAAAAGCATTTTCCAGAAAAGTTGATTTTTAATTGGTATAAGTTTATAATTTTGCACAATGAGTACCAAAATAGTGACCTGCATTGCTCCAGTTAACATAGCTGTTATAAAATACTGTAAGAAGACACATTTTATATCAAGATTTTAAATACAGGAGCAGAAATAATTTTTTACATTTACAGGGGGAAAAAGAGATGAGGATTTAATTCTTCCACTAAATGATTCTTTAAGTTTAACGTTATCTATAGAACATGTAATTTTGAAGTTTGTCTTATCCCGGTTATTTTTATTTTTTATAACTGATTTAATATATCTTGTTTCAAGATGTGCAGTACAACTACGATAATGGCTAGTCCAAATTTTAAAGAGAATAAGTTATGGTTGAATGGTAAAGAAGAATCAACGGGAAATAAGAGATTTCAAAAATGTTTAGAAGCTAGTAAGTTTACCTAAATTGCTCCTATAGTGCTTGCAATGCATCCAGATGTACTAATAATCCGGATTAATTTTAGTTCGTAAAGAAGCTGTAAAAAGTATAGGTAAACAAGAATTTCTCACATATAATATCCATGTTTGTTCAGAAAATAATTTTCCAACTGCTGCTGGTCTTGCATCCTCAGCAGCAGGTTATGCTTGTTTAGGTAATATGATTCGTATTTGGTATTTCCTAGTATTTAGTGTTATATATGTACTAATGTTTCATGTATTTAGTTTATACCCTTGCAAAATTATATGGCGTCACTGGCAATATATCTAAAATAGCTCGCCTTGGTAGTGGGAGTGCTTGCAGAAGCATTTTTGGAGGTTTTGTTCAGTGGTGTGCTGGTTCAAATCCTTCAGGTGAAGATTCTTTAGCTGTACAGGTAACCATTTACAAAATGGATATGAACACTTTCATATAAGCCTGATATATACAGTTGTTATGAATATGTTAGATAGAACCAGAAACATATTGGCCAGAAATGAAAGTTTTGATTCTTGTTGTGAACGATAGCAAGAAGAAAGTCAGTTCTACTAGCGGAATGTCTACCAGTGTTCTAACTTCTGAGCTATTGAAGTATAGAGTGGCTGAATGTGTGCCAAAAAGAATTGACGAAATAAAAGAGGTGCAGAATTTGATAATGTTGCATACAATTTTATACTTACATTATCTTTTTTCCTAGGCTATAAGAAATAAAGACTTCGAGCAGTTTGCTGAAATAACAATGAAAGACAGTAACCAATTTCATGCAGTTTGTTTGGATACTTATCCTCCTTGTGTCTATATGAATGATATATCTCACTCTGTTGTTGAATTTGTCCATAAGTATAATATTATGTGTGGGCAAACGAAAGTAGCATATACTTTTGATGCTGGTCCTAATGCATGTTTGTACTTATTAGAAGATGAAGTACCAGATGTGATATCTTTAATAAATGTAATTTTTCCAACAAGTTACACAAATGAAGAATATTTAAAAGGAATTCCTTTAACTCCAAAACCTGCATCCAGGGTAAGTGACTTCAAAATGTTGTATTAAATAAGTTTAATGCACACTTAATGTACTTTTAATTTCAGGAATTGGTAGATGAACTGAATATGAATCCATTACTAGAGAATGATGCATTGAAATACATAATTTATACTGAAGGAGGGCCTGGTCCTTGTCAAATCGAAAAACATCTTTTGGATAATGATGGTATACCTAGAAGGCTAGTTTAAAATAATGTTGATCAAGTTAATTTTATACATAAGTTATTTGTGGGAAAGGTTCTATTATTCAAAATAAAGTATTTAATATTGGTTTTATCTAACTAACATTTATTCTTGTTATCGGTTACGTACACATTATTAATTTGAGTGAATTGTCTATTATTCCATCTTGTGATTACTTGGTTTCACTTTCTGAAAAAGAAAAAAAAAATCATTAGTTTTGAGACCACTGTGATGCGACTACGTGCATAAGCACAACACAAGCAAATTAGTAAATTTAAATAAAATATAAAAACAAGAACGTGTTATGCTTTATATATGGTTAAATAAATGTTTAAAAAATAAATATATTTTAAACAGCACAAAAACTTATCATTCACTCTCGTCTACTAGCAATTGAGCATTGAAAAACAAAGGAATCGTAGGCTATTTATCAATTCTGCTAAGAGAAATATATGCAAATGATAAATATATTTCAGTTCAGCGCAATGATTAAAAATAAATAAATACATATATGTTAAATAATTAAAATTTTCTGCTTAGCATAGCATTATAAAAATAGAAAATGCAAAATTATCAATCACAAAACCACACCAAATTACTCACTATAGATGAGTATTTGATTTTATTCCGGTTTTCCAGCTGTAAATATAATTAAGTCATTGTAATGATTTTACTTCAATTCTTTCAAATTAACAATAAAGGAAGAAAATAGATATAAAACGTGTACTTACTGATCGCTTTTCCGTCCTTCCAGGGTGTGAATTTAATGCTAGATACGTCCCGTTTCAAAGCCTCATTTTTTAGATCAGATTTCAAAGCTTGGCGGACCATTCGGGCAGCAATTGTTGAAAAGTTAATGTAGCTATAAAGTTTCATTCATATTAGCAAATTTGCATAATGCTTTCATTAATTATATCAGAAAAGTTTTCTTTGAAGTTATGTAATAATATTTTAAGGTTAATATTCAATATATAAAAAAAACTATATATATTCTGTGAATCATTAATAACTCTTACTTTAAACCAGCTTGTCTCCAGGCAGTCATTTTAATTTAATTTTATTTTGCACCTCTAACAAACAAGTTTAATTAATTATTGCATGAGACGAAACGTCAACTGGAAGCGATTTTGGGAGATAGCGATACAGGAGCGCCATCAGTGGCAAAAGAGACAGATGAGTGCCATCTATAATGAAATAGAAACAATATAAATTTGAATCAGGCGCGAATTTTAAAACGTCGAAGTAATATATTAGACTTTTTAAAATTTCATTTATTGAAATATATGTTGATAAATAATGCATTTAAGTCAGACTAACTGGCTGGTGGAAGAGTTTTCACAAACTAGTTCACATATGGTTACTATATATAAACACACACAAACAAACACAAATATGCAGACATAAAAAATTACTAGTGGTGTATGACATCGTGCCTTAAGGCAAATTGCTAGAATTTCCCATACCGTAACAAAATGTTCGAGGAATATTAAATGTTTTCAAATGGATTATTATAAATTTTGTAACATTGTCTACTATTTATAAGAATTATATAAACTGAATTACAAAGTTGAATTTATTACTTTTAAGTATATTAGAACTTTAGTCAGAATTAAAATTATAATCTGAATTATTTTCGATATATACAAAAATAAAAATCATGAAAAAAATTGTTTTTCTGAAAAAAGCCATTATTTTGTTAAAACAAGCAGAAAGTTCTTTGAATCATTTAAATCTGACACTTAGTTCTCTCAAAAACTGCTATTTTTGTACATTTAGCCCTGTATTTTCGAAATGGCTACACCTGCCTTTGCCAAAAACTAATCACCACTTCTCCCAATCATTACTAATTGAATGTTTTTTTAGATCATTCAAATCGGATGCTCCATTTTCTCAAAATCTCGACTTTTATTTTCTGCACTCTTTGCTCTGTATCTCCATAACGACCGGACCTGCCTTTGCTAAAAACTAATCAGCACATCTCCCTATCATTAGGAATCGAATGTTTTTTGAACCATTCAAATCGATTGAACCGTGCGCCCGAAAACGTTGACGAAAAATTCAGTTGAAATTGAATTCAAAATTGGAAATAGAATAAGAAAAATAAGACTAGAATTAATCCTTTCCACTCTTTAATGCTGAGATTTATATGAGTTTTCCCGCCGGAGCGGCGGCATCCGAGTGGAAAAGGTAGTGTGTTATTCGTTAACACACTATCCATTTGTGATTTTTTCAAATCAGTATTTTGTGAAAATATTGTGTGATTTCAAGTTAATGTTTATAATACATAGTGTAGTGCATTACCATATCCTAATACCATGGATTATTAAAATTTTCCAATTTAATACTAAGATCAACTAATTGTAAGTACTATTTACTATTTTATTTTTTCTTTTCACTCCAATTGTTTTAGTTTAATTTTATTTTTAGTTTCCACTGAATGAAGGCTAGGATTATAGCCGAAACGTATGGTTTTAAAATAAATTTTTGAAAGAAATTCATGTTTTTTATTGATGTTTATATTGATTATTAGACTTTGTTAATACATATGTCAACATCAAATTCAGAATCATACAATATATATATATATATATATATATATATATATATACATACATTTTTTATACTTTCTTAGTATCTCGTTTAATAAATTCTTAATGGAATAGATTTGTTTGAATTTTACTATTGAACTTCCTTATTCTAATAAGAATTACTACTTTCGTGATTTCTAATAAAATTGTTTTATAATAAAAATATATGAAATTATTATTATAGAATTAATTTATTAATTTTTTTGTGATCTATTTTGTGTGTGATATATGGGACTAAAACTTATAAATAAGATCGACTTCAGCTGGACAAATATTGTTCAGTGTAATGCAACAACTACTGCGTTCGTGCAAATATCGTTATATTTGCAAATCTATCAGGTGTTTTGTTTAGCAAAAATAACTGTCTAATTAAATTAATTACATACCTTGACTATTTCTTGAACAACCATGACATCGCAAAAGCATTATGTGTTTCCGAATTATAATTTTGAAAATTATTAGATTATTGCTAATTTGCTATATAACATTTGTATATCACAAAAGCAATTAAAAATATGTCATAAAAAACGAAAAAATATAATATAGAACTGTATAGTAAATATAGAATCATATTTATAATCACAAACGTCACTATTCACTTTTATAAAACAAAAAAAAGATGTACGCGGCGTCTCCACCGTAGAAATTTTGAATTAAGAAAAATAATTAGAAGCAATTATGATATATTGATGAATTATTTGAAATATGAAATATATAAAAATAATCATGATGCAGTAAAATATTATAATAAAATTATAGTTATACAAAAAATAAAAAAAACATAATATAATCAAAAGAATACATACTCTTTACAAAATTATCATTTTTAATCATCTTCTTTCACATATTTCTATAAATTCTCAGAAATTGACTCATATACCATAAATAAGACAAAACAATTACCAAGTTCAGAAATAAACATTATGAATTTTTGGCCAAATGCAGTCAGAAATTGACTTATTTTTAGAACTGCATATACGTAATTACTCCGGCAATAAGAATTTGTTTTCTCTAATTCTATTAAAAATATTCAACACAATTACTGAAACAATAAATAAAATAAGAGACAAGAGCAATTTCAAGTTCATTGTTGTTTTAATTATTGAGTGCCAAAACTTGGTTTCTTAGAATTTATTTTCCACGGGACGAAAAAAATTATCAGAGATATTTAAATATATATTTGTAATAAAGTATTCTGACCGTCTTCGCTAATTTTAATCGTCTTTAGTTTATATTATTTATTTCATTTTTTTTCCATAACTTAATTGATATTATGATAATGACCTTCCACAGTGATATTTATGCTTATACTTAAAATTTACATCACTGAAATGATTGAAATGTATGATATCAAATTTCCACTCGAGATTATAGATCTCAAATAATCTCAAGTTAAAATCGCTTTTCGTGGGCATTGCTGCAACACATACACGCCACATATTAGTTACTACACTATTGGATATACATATCTGTTATATATAACGACTACAAATCTACATAATATATATCTCAAGATATATACAATGCTAAGATGTACGAAAAAATTTTCTATTTCAATTTTTCCGTCACATATTTTATATCACAAAGAAGTATATTTAGTTTGTATAAAAGTGTCATTGCTATATCATTACACATCTCTCATTTTATCAGATAAACACTACTTTATTTTACTAGAAAATAAGTATTCATCTAGAACGTAAATTACAAGATTGTGTCATTTGTATAATTTACAATTAATTTGTTTAAACGAAATTTTCAGTAGCTAAGTAATATGACATCATTTCACATTGCATAAATTCATCAAAACGTTTGGTTTTTGTAGCATTTCTCTACACTATGTTTGTGAAAGAGTTGATACACATATACTAATATGATATTAATTAATTATAAAAAATAATTTCCAAGACCTTTTATTTTGTGTTTTGTGTTGAAATAGAGTTTTGGCTAAAAATAATAGTAATAATAATAATAATAAAGGTGAAGTAAGTGTAAAGAAAATATATCATAGTTTCAAATAGAAAACGCTGATTATGAGAAAATTAAGCAATTAGTATTAACTTTTCATTATTTTTGATATTTGGTGACTGAGGGGTTTTAATAGGCAAGATTCTTAGTTAAAATAGTTGAAAACCAAATTTCAAAGCGAAAGTGAATTCTTACATTTTTTCAATCTTTATGATATAATTTTTAAATTATTTTTTTTATATTTTTATAACAATAACTTCGCATAGGGTAAGTTATAGTAATCGCAAAAAAATGGTAAATTAAAATTTGTATATATATTATTAATTTGTATTTTATAATTTTTATATATCAAAGCCTTCTGAACATTTCGGCATACCCTAGAAAAATTGGATCTATGTGTGTATGTTTGAATACACTTTCACGTCCACGATTTCCAACCATTCTGAATGATATAAAAAATATTCGATTGCTATGAATAATAATTCACTGAATAAAAAGTGCCAAAAAGGACAATTTTTAGAGAACGGAGCGTCCGATTTGAATGATTCGATGAATATATCACTTGTATTGGCATAGTGAAGATTAAATTTTGTTTATATTTCTATGGGTTCCGTGCCAATGTTCATCCGTTAGACTGCAATGCGACGCTTACGCGCTTCGATATTTCTTCTCTAAAATTGCCACGCAGCGCGATTGGATTGAAAAAAAGTTCAAAAAAATCAAAATATAAAATAAATCATATTAACATAAAGTAATTGTTTTCAGAAATTTCAAAATTCTCAAAAATAACAAATTTTTAATTTTTCAAACATAATTTTTTAAACTTTTTTTAACTTCCCGTAGGGCAAGTTATAGTAATCGCAAAAAAATCGAAAATGAAAATTTTTGCATTTCTCGACGTTTCAAAGGTTTCTGAATATTTTGGCATACCTTAGAAAAAATGGATGTATGTGTGTGTGTGTGTGTGTGTGTGTGTGCGTGTGTGTATGTATGTGCGGATACAAATTTTCGTCGACGATTTCGGGAACACCGATCAACCGATTTGAATAATTCAAAAAACATTCGATTCGTATTGATAAGGAGACGTGCTGATTAGTTTTTGGCAAAGTCAGGTCTAGCCGTTCCGAAGATACGGGGCAAAAAGTGCCGAAAACGGTAATTCAGTTTTTAAGAGAACGGAGCGTCCGATTTTAATAATTCAAAAAACATTTTACTTGTATTGACAAGGTGAAGAACGGATCAAATTTTCATAAAGGCAAGTCTAACGGTTTCGGAGATTTAATAAAAAAAGTAAAAAAATGCCATTTGGCGGTCAAAAATGATCATTAGACATATGCACATCAAATTATCAGATATTTTATAGAGATTTTAACAATAAGTATGATTTTGGTTTACATTCCTATAGGTTCCGTACCAATGTTTACGCGTTAGACGTCGACGCGGCGCTATGCAGTTAAAGCAGTACGATTGCTTTGAAAAAAAGTTTAGGTCTTTCACAATATGTGAAAATAAAGAAAACATTTTTTTTCAAAAAAAAAAAAAATTAAAAAAAAAAATTAAAAAAAAATTTTTTTTTAAAAAAGTAATTTTTTGTCTAATTGTTTGTCAAAAATCTTATCTTTTC